AGAGAGATTCAGCCTCTGAGTGTGTGTGTGAGATTTAGCCTGTGTGTGTGTGTGAGGACTGAACTCACGTCCACCACCTCCTTGTGTGTGTGTGTGTGTGTGTGAGATCTCAGAATAAACCCCTTCAGGCTGATGGAAGACCTGATCCTGATCACCCGGTCAGGTTTATTCTGAGATAAGAACCGGCAGAATTTGCATTATCTTTTCCTTCATCCACACACATTACAATACAATACAAGACAATACAATACAATACAATGCAATACTGATCCCTGTGGGACTCCACCATCTGGAGGTACACTAGAGGAGGACTGACCCCTGTGGGACTCCACTGTCTGGTGGTACACTAGATGAGGACTGACCCCTGTGGGACTCCACCATCTGGAGGTACACTAGAGGAGGACTGACCCCTGTGCGACTCCACCATCTGGTGGTACACTAGATGAGGACTGACCCCTGTGGGACTCCACCATCTGGTGGTACACTAGAGGAGGACTGACCCCTGTGGGACTCCACTGTCTGGTGGTACACTAGATGAGGACTGACCCCTGTGGGACTCCACCGTCTGGTGGTACACTAGAGGAGGACTGACTAGAGGAGGACTGACCCCTGTGGGACTCCACCGTCTGGAGGTACACTAGAGGAGGACTGACCCCTGTGGGACTCCACTGTCTGGTGGTACACTAGATGAGGACTGACCCCTGTGGGACTCCACCATCTGGTGGTACACTAGAGGAGGACTGACCCCTGTGGGACTCCACCGTCTGGAGGTACACTAGAGGAGGACTGACTAGAGGAGGACTGACCCCTGTGGGACTCCACCGTCTGGTGGTACACTAGAGGAGGACTGACCCGTGTGGGACTCCACCGTCTGGAGGTACACTAGAGGAGGACTGACCCCTGTGGGACTCCACCGTCTGGAGGTACACTAGAGGAGGACTGACCCCTGTGGGACTCCACTGTCTGGAGGTACACTAGAGGAGGTCTGACCCCTGTGGGACTCCACTGTCTGGTGGTACACTAGATGAGGACTGACCCCTGTGGGACTCCACCGTCTGGAGGTACACTAGAGGAGGACTGACCCCTGTGGGACTCCACCGTCTGGAGGTACACTAGATGAGGACTGACCCCTGTGGGACTCCACCATCTGGAGGTACACTAGAGGAGGACTGACCCCTGTGGGACTCCACTGTCTGGAGGTACACTAGATGAGGACTGACCCCTGTGGGACTCCACCATCTGGAGGTACACTAGAGGAGGTCTGACCCCTGTGGGACTCCACTGTCTGGTGGTACACTAGATGAGGACTGACCCCTGTGGGACTCCACTGTCTGGTGGTACACTAGATGAGGACTGACCCCTGTGGGACTCCACCGTCTGGTGGTACACTAGAGGAGGACTGACCCCTGTGGGACTCCACCGTCTGGAGGTACACTAGAGGAGGACTGACCCCTGTGGGACTCCACCGTCTGGAGGTACACTAGAGGAGGACTGACTAGAGGAGGACTGACCCGTGTGGGACTCCACCGTCTGGTGGTACACTAGATGAGGACTGACCCCTGTGGGACTCCACCCTCTGGTGGTACACTAGAGGAGGACTGACCCCTGTGGGACTCCACCGTCTGGTGGTACACTAGAGAAGGACTGACCCCTGTGGGACTCCACCGTCTGGTGGTACACTAGAGAAGGACTGACCCCTGTGGGACTCCACCGTCTGGTGGTACACTAGAGAAGGACTGACCCCTGTGGGACTCCACCGTCTGGTGGTACACTAGAGGAGGACTGACCCCTGTGGGACTCCACCGTCTGGTGGTACACTAGAGAAGGACTGACCCCTGTGGGACTCCACCGTCTGGTGGTACACTAGAGGAGGACTGACCCCTGTGGGACTCCACCGTCTGGTGGTACACTAGAGAAGGACTGACCCCTGTGGGACTCCACCGTCTGGTGGTACACTAGATGAGGACTGACCCCTGTGGGACTCCACTGTCTGGAGGTACACTAGAGCAGTGGTTCCCAAAGTAGGGGTCGCGACCCCCCGGGGGGGCGTGAGACAGCGAGGGGGGGTCGCGAGATGATTTCCAAGGGACCGTTCGGTATTTATGGAAAGGTCCACCGGAGGAAAATAGGGGAGGGTGTATTTTTATTCTTTGTTGAGGGGAGGGTCATTCAACTTTTTGTATCCATGAAAACAGCAAAATTTCAAATATTTTTTCCATGTAGCTCTCTCGGTCTCGGTTCCCCATCGCTATCAGATGGGTCTCCCAACAAAAATCCAGTTTAGCGCTGTCTGACAGTGCGCGCTCAGAAAAAGTACATCATGTACAGAACGCCAATGAAATGTTTACCTGGCATAGCTTTAAAGCACGATTAAATAATTAACTTTTGTGATTACGAATAAGTGCAGTGTCCTGTGAGTGTAACTCTACCGCTGCATTAACATGTGATATGAATGTACGTTGAGTGTTTGAGTGTATTGGGACTGAAGCGCCAGAACTGCAGCTGATATAATGTGCGCTGTAGCACGATACTTCCATATTTTAGTTTCCATTCTTATTGTGTTTCCACAACAATGTTAGTGAGTAAATACTGAAATTGCCACCATAACAGTGGAGTGTGATGTGACGTAGGGCTATCACATTTTTAAATTACTAGGCCTATTAGTATTATTTGAAGTTAAAACAATCGGAAATACGCAGACCTACACCAAAAAACTATTTGAGGATAAATTATTTAAAATTGGGCAATTCCAGCGTTATGGACGTGACATTTGCAGTCAAAACTTGAAATATAAATGATCAGAAAATGTATTTAATACTGAAACGTCTGTTTATATAGGCTATCCATACCCCCAAAGGAGTCAAGACATTAGAAAAATATCAGTCTACACATGCGTTTTATATTTAATATGAGCGAAATACACATGTGACGTGACACAAAAAATCTTTAACTTTTATGTGGCAAAATATTTTTTAATAATTCTACGAATTACACTGAATTACACAAAACAAAAGTACGCTAAAAACCGGATGAAGAAGGGTCGGCCTCCACAGAACATAAAATATTCTTTATTTTATTTTATTTTTCGTGTTCGCATTTATGAGGAAAAAAACAATACGGACGTGACAGTTCTCCGTTTCGGACATGACCGCTCTGAAAGCGACTTTAAAACTTCCACAGAGACTTCAGAAAGCACAAAGCCTTTCTTTAAAGTAAATTTCGTTTTTTATTAATTGTATCTAAATTTTAATTAATGTTTCATCAACCAATTACCTGGATTAATGAATAAGAAGTAAATATAGTAGAAAATAGATCATCATGACACGGAGTCGCCGGCGCGTGAACTGGACTCTTTCTCATGAACCGAAACTCAGCGTATAATGTAGCTACTTGCCTCACAGAATTGAGAAATATATAGAAAGCTTGATGTCAACTTTTAAACAGAACATTTAAAAACGAAAAACAGACTGCTCTCTGCTTATGTAATCCGTATGAAATCTGCATTTCTCTCTGGCGCGTTACTGTGAAGATGGCGAGTCAGCATCGTCAAATTCATCTTGAAGCCGACACACTGACACAGAAAAACCTTGTTTATTAATAAACAATTAATATCTCTCCCTGCTATACTATTTGACATATTCATAATCATTACTTTTGCCGGTTCTTTGTGGCAGCTTTTAGATACTTTATTGGGAGCGCCACCCTTGTTACATGAACGCGTCACCACATCAGCACCGAAAACATGATTTTTCTTCTTTCTTTTTTTTAATCTAAAATAAAAAATCATGATACGAACCGAGTTGTAGGTTTGGTCCATCGTTACAGCCTTAGTAAAACGAGAAAGTAGGAGTTTAGTCGTTTGTCATTTTGTAAAAAAAAAACAATGGCTATCTGAGCATCTTTGCCAAGCGCAAACCAGCAATCAATAAATTATCGGGGAGGGTCATGCCTTTTTCACAATCATTTTGGAGGGTCATGGAAAAATGTATTACTGGCGAAGGGAGGGTCAAGTTTTTTGACTACAGATCTCAAAACTCCTCCGGTGGCCCCTTAAATAAAAAACGAACAGTCCCTAAATAAAAAAAAATAATAGGCTAATAATAAAAAAAAAAAAATATATATATATATATATATATATAATATATATATAACGATTAGAAATAGCATATTGTATCCATAATTGTAACAAAATACAAAAAAATAGTTGTTAAATAAAAAAAATAAAAAATAAAAACATACAAATAAAAAAAAAAAGCCGTTGGTCCTGAGCCTGAGGTGATGACGAGAGATTAACGACAATTAGCGGTCACTTTACTACAGCACCAAGATAAACAGTCTTTCTGACACGTAGCGCAAGGTATTTTTTTAGGTTTAAAGGAGAACTCCGGCGCAAAATGAACCTTTGGTCTAATTACACATTGTTACCTAGTCAACCGTTATCTGAGATTTGTTTTCATGATTATCGAATGTAAATATTTTTATCTCTAAAAACAGTTTAGCCTATAAAGCTAGTATAATGCTAGTATATTGGGCATAGTGTAATGACAAATAAAAATCGCTTGTTAATACCACTAACAAGGCTGAAAATAGCCCCACACTAACACGGTAGCATAATGAGGGTCCCTACCTTCAAACCGAAGCATTGAGAACTTTGTCAGTGTCCAGACAGTTTAATAAGAAGATATTTTAAACATACAGTCAACTTCGCGAATACAGGCAGGAGCCATCTTTGAAATACAGCCTTTACCAGTCGATCTACGAACGCCGATCCAAGTGCGCTGGTTAGAATGTGAACGAGCTATAAGTTGTGATGAGGTGAGCGCGAACAGCAGGCTTGGATCGGCGTTCGTAGAAGAAAGTTCTAACTAAACAAACAACAATCCCTGCCAAACCTGCAACAGGCATCATATGAGGTGGCATATTTAATTGCACTGGCAAAAAAGCCACACACGATCGGTGAAACCCTTATCAAACCCGCTGCTATAGCAATAAGTCGGGCTATGCATGGGGATAAACTGGCCTGTGAGCTAGAAGCAGTGCCTCTGTCTAACGGGACTATTGCCCGGCGCATCTCCGACATGGCCCAGGACATAAAGTGTCAGCTGGTGGACAGAGTGAAGAAAGGGAAATATGCTTTACAATTAGATGAATCCACAGATGTATCAAACTCTCCCCAGCTGCTTGTATTCGTCAGATACAGTTTTGACGGAAAACTTAACGAGGACATTCTGTTTTGCACCGCGCTTGAGGGAACGTGCACAGGCAATGACATTTTCACAAAAGTTGACAACAAACTAAAAGAAGAGGGACTGTCTTGGGGTGAGTGCATCGGTGTGTGTACAGATGGTGCTGGAGCGATGCTGGGGAAAAAGAAAGGTCTTAAAGCAAGAGTCTTGCAAGTGGCGCCTCACATAAATTTCACGCATTGCATTATACACAGAGAAGCTCTTGCAAGCAAAACACTTGACCCAGAACTTAAACGTGTTCTTGAAACCGCGATAAAAATTGTCAACTACATAAAAGCGCGTCCACTCAATATCAGGCTGTTTGCCACTCTCTGTCACGAACTGGGATCGGAGCATGAGTGCTTGCTGTTCCACACAGAAGTCAGGTGGCTTTCGCGAGGGAATGTGCTCAGCCGCCTGTTTGAACTGCGGGACGAAGTGCGCTTATTTCTGATGGAGCATGCGTCCCAGCTCGCTGACCACCTCACTGATCCTGACTGGTTAACAAGGCTAGCGTATTTGTCTTGCATATTTGAAAAACTGAATGGCCTTAATATGTCATTGCAAGGTGAAAACACAAGCATCATGTCACTGAATGATAAAATCTACGCATTCACGAGAAAACTTGAGCGCTGGACTGAGCGAGTTGAAATGGGTAGGATTGACATGTTTTCTGAGCTGGACGAATTCATTGAGGAAAATGAACTGAGTGTTAACATAGTGATGAAGTCTATCACTACTCACCTTCAATCCCTACTGGAACACTTCAACAAGTATTTCCCAAAGGAAACAGCTCCAGAACAATATGACTGGGTAAGATCACCGTTCACTGTAACAAGGGCTAATCATCTGACATCCAACCTGGAGGACACATTGGTTGAACTGTCAAGCGACCGAACCTTAAAGACCGAACCTTAAAGACAGCGTTTAATTCCAAGACGCTGGCTGAGTTCTGGATTTCTGTCGAGAAGGAATACCCACAGCTATCCAAGGCCGCTATGGATGTACTGATGCCTTTTGGTACTACCTACTTGTGCGAAAAGACTTTCTCGGCACTCACGTACATTAAAAATAAACACAGATCGCGACTGAATGTGGAGGATGAACTCCGAGTGGCGGTCTCCAAAATTAAACCAAGAATGGACTTGCTGTGCTCCAAGCATTGTGCCTATCCATCTCATTAGGAGATGGTAGGCTAATATTTAAATGAAAGTTATGAGTAAATTACTATAAAACAGTATTATAGTTTGATTGTTGTGTTCTTTTTTGTAGTAAACATGCTCGTGTTTAGATAGGCCTATTTGTGCGTGTGCGCTTTTGTGCGCAACGGCATGTGCCCATCCATCTCATTAGGAGATGTTAGGCTAATATTTAAATGAAAGTAATGAGTAAATTACTATAAAACAATATTAGAGTTGTTTGATTGTTGTGTTCATTTTTTTGTTGTAAACATGCTCGTGTTTAGATAGGCCTATTTGTGCGTGTGCGCCGTTGTGCGCAACGATATTGTGCGCATCCATCTCATTAGGAGATGTTAATATTTAAGTAAGGAATAATTGACGACAGGCCGTTGAATTATTAGAAAAATAGTGCACACTCGAGCTAATAGGCTAAATGAAACACAAAGCCCTTTTAACAAGTAGGCCTATCAATAATTATTTATTTGTTATAGAATAATAACGAAAACCCGTGCAGTTTAATTTTTATTAAAATTAAACTGCATGTGTCCATTTATTGTGAAGTTAGACATTAAAAATTGCAGATCAAGCGCATGGGGCTGCATGTTTTTTCTTGTTATGAATTGTATCCTATTTTCCGTTGTTACAGTTATTACTACGCGCAGTGATATGGAACTAATGCGGTCAAAACTACTTTAGCCGTGCGTTTCCCTGAAAATAATTGCACACCTTATAACGTTCTCAACCAATCAGAATCAAGCATGTAACAGCCCTGTAGTATAATATAAAATAATATAATGGTTGTTTTGACTGTTGTGTTCTTCTGTGTTGTAAGTATGCCTATTAGTGCGTGTGCACAGTTTCACGCAATGTTTGTATACTTTAACCACCTCCGAGGATAGTAGGGGTCACGAGTCACTCGCACCTTTATTTTGGGGGTCGTGGGCTGAAAAGTTTGGGAACCCCTGCACTAGAGGAGGACTGACCCCTGTGGGACGCCACCGTCTGGTGGTACACTAGATGAGGACTGACCCCTGTGGGACTCCACCGTCTGGTGGTACACTAGAGAAGGACTGACCCCTGTGGGACTCCACTGTCTGGAGGTACACTAGAGGAGGACTGACCCCTGTGCGACTCCACCGTCTAGTGGTACACTAGATGAGGACTGACCCCTGTGGGACTCCACCGTCTGGTGGTACACTAGAGAAGGACTGACCCATGTGGGACTCCACCGTCTGGAGGTACACTAGATGAGGACTGACCCCTGTGGGACTCCACCGTCTGGTGGTACACTAGAGAAGGACTGACCCCTGTGGGACTCCACCGTCTGGAAGTACACTAGAGGAGGACTGACCCCTGTGGGACTCCACCGTCTGGTGGTGCACTAGATGAGGACTGACCCCTGTGGGACTCCACCGTCTGGAGGTACACTAGATGAGGACTGACCCCTGTGGGACTCCACCGTCTGGAGGTACACTAGAGGAGGACTGACTAGAGGAGGACTGACCCCTGTGGGACTCCACCGTCTGGAGGTACACTAGAGGAGGACTGACCCCTGTGGGACTCCACCGTCTGGTGGTACACTAGAGGAGGACTGACCCCTGTGGGACTCCACCGTCTGGAGCTACACTAGAGGAGGACTGACTAGAGGAGGACTGACCCCTGTGGGACTCCACCGTCTGGTGGTACACTAGATGAGGACTGACCCCTGTGGGACTCCACCGTCCGGAGGTACACTAGATGAGGACTGACCCCTGTGCGACTCCACCGTCTGGTGGTACACTAGATGAGGACTGACCCCTTTGGGACTCCACCGTCTGGAGGTACACAAGAGGAGGACTGACCCCTATGGGACTCCACCATCTGGTGGTACACTAGATGAGGACTGACCCCTGTGCGACTCCACCGTCTGGAGGTACACTAGAGGAGGACTGACCCCTGTGCGACTCCACCGTCTGGTGGTACACTAGATGAGGACTGACCCCTTTGGGACTCCACCATCTGGAGGTACACTAGATGAGGACTGACCCCTGTCGGACTCCACCGTCTGGAGGTACACTAGATGAGGACTGACCCCTGTAGGACTCCACCATCTGTAGGTACACTAGATGAGGACTGACCCCTGTGGGACTCCACCGTCTGGAGGTACACTAGAGGAGGACTGACCCCTGTGGGACTCCACTGTCCGGAGGTACACTAGAGGAGGACTGACCCCTGTGGGACTCCACCAGCTGGTGGTACACTAGATGAGGACTGACCCCTGTGGGACTCCACCGTCTGGAGGTACACTAGAGGAGGACTGACCCCTGTGCGACTCCACTGTCTGGTGGTACACTAGATGAGGACTGACCCCTGTGGGACTCCACCGTCTGGAGGTACACTAGATGAGGACTGACCCCTGTGGGACTCCACCGTCTGGAGGTACACTAGATAAGGACTGACCCCTGTGGGACTCCACCGTCTGGTGGTACACTAGAGGAGGACTGACCCCTGTGCGACTCCACCATCTGGAGGTACACTAGATGAGGACTGACCCCTGTGGGACTCCACCGTCTGGAGGTACACTAGATGAGGACTGACCCCTGTGGGACTCCACCGTCTGGAGGTACACTAGATGAGGACTGACCCCTGTGGGACTCCACCGTCTGGTGGTACACTAGAGGAGGACTGACCCCTGTGGGACTCCACCATCTGGTGGTACACTAGATGAGGACTGACCCCTGTGGGACTCCACCGTCTGGAGGTACACTAGATGAGGACTGACCCCTGTGGGACTCCACCGTCTGGAGGTACACTAGATGAGGACTGACCCCTGTGGGACTCCACCGTCTGGAGGTACACTAGATGAGGACTGACCCCTGTGGGACTCCACCGTCTGGAGGTACACTAGATGAGGACTGACCCCTGTGGGACTCCACCGTCTGGTGGTACACTAGAGGAGGACTGACCTCTGTGGGACTCCACCATCTGGTGGTACACTAGATGAGGACTGACCCCTGTGCGACTCCACCGTCTGGAGGTACACTAGAGGAGGACTGACCCCTGTGGGACTCCACCGTCTGGTGGTACACTAGAGGAGGACTGACCCCTGTGGGACTCCACCGTCCGGTGGTACACTAGATGAGGACTGACCCCTGTGGGACTCCACCGTCTGGAGGTACACTAGAGGAGGACTGACCCCTGTGGGACTCCACCATCTGGTGGTACACTAGATGAGGACTGACCCCTGTGCGACTCCACCGTCTGGTGGTACACTAGATGAGGACTGACCCCTGTGCGACTCCACCGTCTGGTGGTACACTAGATGAGGACTGACCCCTGTGGGACTCCACCATCTGGAGGTACACTAGATGAGGACTGACCCCTGTCGGACTCCACCGTCTGGAGGTACACTAGATGAGGACTGACCCCTGTAGGACTCCACCATCTGTAGGTACACTAGATGAGGACTGACCCCTGTGGGACTCCACCGTCTGGAGGTACACAAGAGGAGGACTGACCCCTGTGGGACTCCACCGTCTGGAGGTACACTAGATGAGGACTGACCCCTGTAGGACTCCACCATCTGTAGGTACACTAGATGAGGACTGACCCCTGTGGGACTCCACCGTCTGGAGGTACACTAGAGGAGGACTGACCCCTGTGGGACTCCACCGTCTGGAGGTACACTAGATGAGGACTGACCCCTGTGGGACTCCACCGTCTGGTGGTACACTAGAGGAGGACTGACCCCTGTGGGACTCCACCATCTGGTGGTACACTAGATGAGGACTGACCCCTGTGCGACTCCACCGTCTGGAGGTACACTAGATGAGGACTGACCCCTGTGGGACTCCACCGTCTGGAGGTACACTAGATGAGGACTGACCCCTGTGGGACTCCACCGTCTGGAGGTACACTAGATGAGGACTGACCCCTGTGGGACTCCACCGTCTGGTGGTACACTAGAGGAGGACTGACCCCTGTGGGACTCCACCATCTGGTGGTACACTAGATGAGGACTGACCCCTGTGCGACTCCACCGTCTGGAGGTACACTAGAGGAGGACTGACCCCTGTGGGACTCCACCGTCTGGTGGGACACTAGAGGAGGACTGACCCCTGTGGGAATCCACCGTCTGGAGGTACACTAGAGGAGGACTGACCCCTGTGGGACTCCACCGTCCGGTGGTACACTAGATGAGGACTGACCCCTGTGGGACTCCACCGTCTGGAGGTACACTAGAGGAGGACTGACCCCTGTGGGACTCCACCATCTGGTGGTACACTAGATGAGGACTGACCCCTGTGCGACTCCACCGTCTGGAGGTACACTAGAGGAGGACTGACCCCTGTGCGACTCCACCGTCTGGTGGTACACTAGATGAGGACTGACCCCTTTGGGACTCCACCATCTGGAGGTACACTAGATGAGGACTGACCCCTGTCGGACTCCACCGTCTGGAGGTACACTAGATGAGGACTGACCCCTGTAGGACTCCACCATCTGTAGGTACACTAGATGAGGACTGACCCCTGTGGGACTCCACCGTCTGGAGGTACACTAGAGGAGGACTGACCCCTGTGGGACTCCACTGTCCGGAGGTACACTAGAGGAGGACTGACCCCTGTGGGACTCCACCAGCTGGTGGTACACTAGATGAGGACTGACCCCTGTGGGACTCCACCGTCTGGAGGTACACTAGAGGAGGACTGACCCCTGTGCGACTCCACTGTCTGGTGGTACACTAGATGAGGACTGACCCCTGTGGGACTCCACCGTCTGGAGGTACACTAGATGAGGACTGACCCCTGTGCGACTCCACCATCTGGTGGTACACTAGATGAGGATTGACCCCTGTGGGACTCCACCGTCTGGAGGTACACTAGATGAGGACTGACCCCTGTGGGACTCCACCGTCTGGTGGTACACTAGAGGAGGACTGATGACCAATGCGGACACTAAAACATCTGTAGGTCAGACAAGAACGGAACCACTGTAAGACTACGCCACGAAAGCCCACAGAGATCTCCAGACATCTCAACAGGACCTCATGGACCACCAGATCAAATGCAGCACTCAGATCTAATAAAACTAAAGCCATGGACTTCCCAGAACCAGTTTCTGTGAAAATATCGCTTGAAACTCTTAAGAGGGCAGATTCAGTGTGTAAAGCTTTAAACCCAGATTGAAACGTTTCATGGAGAGAATTTACAGCCGAACATGATTGTAATTGAGTCAGTGCAACTCTCTCTCGGACCTTCGAAATAAAAGCGAGATTAGAAATAGGACAGAGGTTAGAAAGAGAGGAAGGATCCAAGTTTGTTTTTTTAAGATATGGCGTCACCAGTGCAACTTTAGGACTGTTAGGGAGGGAACCAGTAGACAGGCATTTGTTAATAACCAATAACAGGCCAGGACCAACTGGGTCATAATTTGTCTCAGGAAAAAAGGTGGAATAATATCCTGAGGACAGATAGTAGGTTTCAGGTGACCAACACTTTCATTACAGTCCAGATCAGTCGGCTCAAACTCAGACCAGATGGAGGAACACAGTGGAACCTCACGCAGGGTATATGGCGAGTCAGACACCTGAGATCTTAAAGGTGTGATCTTGTCAACAAAAAACTTCCCAAAGTGGCCACAGAGAGCAGCAGATGGCTCTAAAATAGAGGATTTAAAACAGAGTTAATGGCGGAAAAGAGGTTTATGACCATTTTTTGTAATAAGTTCAGAAAAATATTTGCATTTTGCGACCTTTGCAGCTTTCTGAAACAGGATGTACGAATTTTTCAAGATTTCAAAAGAAATCTGCAATCGGTCCTGTTTCCACTGGCGCTCAGCCGTCCACACACCCGTCCCAGATATAATATCTGCGCAGGTGGAATTAAAAAGATTAAGATGTGCATCAGGGTCCAAGTTATGACACACTGACTGGCTTCGTCACTCTCTCTCCTCCACCTGGAGTGTGGCGGGCGTTCGGGCGCAACATGGCTGCCGCATAGGTAATGTTGGAGGGAATGAAGTACAGCGCTGTCACAGCTTGGTTTCGTTTCATGTTCTTGTGTCATGTCTGTCATGTGATCCCTGTTCTAGTCATGTGATCCTGCCGTGGATCATTTGTGTTTGATTCATAACTCTGGAACCCTAAGGGCCAGAAACTAAATGATATTTTCCTGAATCATGGAGTCAAGCCCTACAACATTTTATGCCATGTTGAATTCTTCTTATTCAAGCTCCTCCGATCTTCACCAAATTTGGTCCAAACTTTTAAAACATTGTACATGTGGAGATCAAGTCATTCTTAGAAAATATGTTTAATGAATTTCTGATGCTTAATACTAATGTAATGTTCCTCTTTTGAGTCTAAACTCGCTTTCCCTAGTTTGAGCGGCTGAATAATTCAACATATAAGAGATTACAGTTCATTTGTAGTGCACTGACTATAGTTTTATATAATTAGTGCACATAAATCTGTGAAATGCTTGTAGATCATTAATTGTTAATTTAACCTTTATAATACTGAAAACGTATTTGACATGAGTAACTATACTGCTGTCCATTTAAAATGAAGAAACCATTTCACAATATCTCTTTTAAGATAATAGAACAATATTTCTATAAAGACACTTATTTTAGTGTTGTGGTATGAATAATTAAACATTAATGGAAGTAATCAGAGACCGCATAAAACACGAAGAGTCCTAAATATATCTAATTTATTTACTTTTTCTAACATGTTGTCCTCGGGTAAGTGACAGTTTGTTCTGTGTAGTATTTTTGGATTACAGTATTGCTATATTATAATTATACCGCACATGACAGCTTCACACAATCATTTGAAAAGGATCTAGACTATGACGTCATCATATGACATGCAAATTAACTCAAGTAAAAATTTTACACCACATGTAGGCCTATCTTATGATCATCACATATCTTATGACCGGAATCATTTTTAGTTTTTTTTAAAACTTCTCTTTGAGTCTAACAGTGAAGAACAAGTTGGACTTTTCAGTAAAAAAAAAAACAATAAATTTGATAAGATACAAGTAATATTTTATTTTATCAACAAGTATACAATCGTCATCCAGCTGATTTGAGACACGGCCCGTCAGCAATCACACTCGGCTGTGATTGGTCCATCCCGACAGCGCCGAGAACAGTAACGAGGATCACGTGACACTGGTGATGCTGTATCTAGCATAGACATAATAAATACATTTATTATGTCTTTTCACATAAATGTATTTATTATGTCTATGGTACCTAGTATTTATTGCTCGTTTATTTATGAAAAATGGCACTGTTGCGCTGGAAAAATATTTTGGATGATAATAAAAACTATATATATTATGCATTATATTTTGCTATGCCTTGACCAAAGCCAAGTAATCCTACTTTGCATAAGGGTTTGCTGATGAATGTTTTTGATCAGGCGCAGAGTAGGACCCGTCTATGGTAGGACCGCGCTCTCCCGCTGAAGACCGGCGCATGCGCACTGAGCTCCTCTTCTCCTGATTCTCCGTTAGTGCCGCTGTTCTTGTAGAATAGATGAGTGTTCACTCGCCGGCCGCAGAGTTAAACTACACACTACACACGAACACTTGGGCTAAAGCTGTGTGTGTCAGGGTGCACGCGACGCCAACATGCAGATCTTCGTGAAAACGCTGACGGGTAAAACCATCACACTCGAGGTGAGTGAGGGAGTGTGTGTAGTGAGTGTGTGTGAGAACAGACAGCACTGCACGAGCGATGATCACACATTCGGAATAATCACCGATGAGTGTTCTTCTGATCGCAGTAGCAGCTGTTAGTGTTGATACAGTGAGTGATGCTGATCTGCACTGAAGATGAGAAATAAAACAAATCAGTTAAAAACAGTGACAAACAAGGGCGGAGCTAGACTCTCAGTACAGTGGGGGCGGAGCTAGACTCTCAGTACAATGGGGGCGGAGCTTCATTATGGGGCCTTCTGCTACCAAGTCATTTTAAAATTAAAACCGTAAAAAAAACCTTAAAATATCTGATGAATGCATATGTAATAATGTGTCACTTGTTGAGCCAAGTAAGCTTATATGTTAAATAAAAGTAAAACACAAAGGCTATCTCGTTCTTTTCAGAGAAAAGTCTGTTTTCTTTCGTTTTGAATTGTTCTGTAAAAGTACACATTTCAAGCTTTCTATAGATATATTTCTCAGGTGTGTGAGGCAAGGGCTACCTTATACGCTGTGTCTCGGTTCATTAATGAGACGAGCTCCAGTTCACGCGCCGGCGCCTCCGTGTCGTGATTATCTATTGTCTGCTATATTTACTTCTTATTTATTAAATCTAGACAATTGGTTGATGAAACATTGATTAAAATTAAGATACAATTAATACAAAACAAAATTCGCCTTAATGAATGGCTTTGTACTTTATGTTTGATGTCTCTGAAAGTTTTAAAGCAGTCTTTCAGTGCCGCTTTCAGAGCGCTCACGTCCGTAACGGGGAACTGTCTCTTAACATTGTTTTTCCCTTATAAATGCGAACACGAAGAATAAGACAAAATTAATATTTTGTTCTGTGGAGAGGCAACCCTTCTTCATCCGGTGGGTAGTATTACTTTTTGTACTTTTGCCACTTAAAAGTTAAAGTTTTTTTGTGTCACGTCCGTTACGGATGTGTATTTCCCTCATATTAAATATAAAACGCATGTGTAGACTAGACTGATATTTTTTCTAATGTCTGGACTCCTTTATTAAGGAGTATGGATAAACAGACGTTTCAATATAATGGTATTAAATGCATTTTCTGAGAATTTACATTTCAAGTTTTTTTTACCTCAAATGTCACGTCCATAACGCTGGAATTGCCCAATTTTAAAGAAATTATCCTCAACTAGTTTTGTGGTGTAGGTCTACGTATTTTATAATGTTAACTTAAAAAAATAATAGTAATTTAAAGATGTGGTAGCATTGGATCTGGACGGGAAGGATAACGCTGGGAGTTGGAGTGTGTCGCGATTCTGCCTTCTCGCACACATTTCAGTTTCATATCGCATATCTGCCATCATTTCTACTAAAGAAAATGACAAAAATAGTAACGCACAGTAACTTAGATAAGTAATTTTAATCTGATTACTGGTTTGGAAATAGTAACGCGTTAAATTACTCGTTACTGAAAAAAGTTACCGGCATCACTGCTGGCGAGGGCCCCGTTCCTGTCCAGTGACGCAAGATCGGCGGTGTTTGAGGGGCCCCTAATTGGCACCAGGGCTGTGTCCCAATCCACCGCGAACTGAACTCCCATTGGTCTGTGTGGTGATGATGTAATCGGGGGTGTGGCTCTGAGGCTCCGCCTTCTTTGAGGTGTAAGTCTTTAGAGGAGAAGGGTATTCCTGCACAACCGGAGGCTGCAGTTCTAGGACCGCAGTTTCAGGACCCCGGTTTTCTGTTACAGCGCCACCTACCGAACTGGATCACCAAAAACACTCATTTAACCCCTTTCGCGGCAAAGATCACAGACGGCCCCAGATTATTGTTGTTTAACATTCATTATTCGTTAAAGCATCACACTCTTACTTATTTGATCTGGACAAACTGAGCATCATTAGAAAGATTTAAGACTCTGCTTCGATAGTTGACCACTGTTTATAAAACTGGTTTGCAGTGACATTAATTTCTTAATTTATGACAGGAGTGCAAAATTATTAATCTGTAATGTTCGTTATTTTGAATAGAAATCATCACTCATAAAGCAATCATTCACGTCTTCTCCGGTATATTTGTGTTCACGTATGCAATATACAGCACCCGCCAGCGTCAGTTATGATCTCAGCGCGCTCTTATTCGCTGTACAGCTGTCAATCATGTCACGTGGTTCAACGTGACAATAAATCCTGCCCTTCTGCATGACGCGCTCCTGTGTATGCTGTGTACACTTCCTCATTCTGACCTCCGTGATAACTAAGCTAAGACACATCTCTTCACCTGAAACAAGAAGCTAATAAATGCACTAATGCACGATTTCGAGTATATGTGGTTTGTGTGTGATTTCCGTGTGATTTGGGATATTTTCATTTGAATAAAGAATGTTTACAGTATTGCTAAGCAAGATGTAGCCATTAGCTGCATATAAAATGCTAAATATAACATTTCAACAAAAAAAAGTCTTGACTTAAAACCGTTTTAAACCGCGACAGGAATATGATACAAATACTCGATGGTCGTTTAAAGTGAGCTTTTAGTAAAAGTGTAATATTAATCTTTTAAATTGTGTCATGTAGCTTGATGCTACTTGCTCTAATCCACCTGCTGCAGGAGCTTTTCTATTCCATAATCTTATTTGTAAATATATATATATACATTTATTTTCTTTTTTTTTCTTTTCTATCAAGATTTAAGATAATAGGTGGATCTTGATACTATGTACTAAACCACCTGGATCCTAGAACTGCTGTTCTGAAACCGCAGCCGCCGCTATATCATTCAGTTCGGTTGGTGGCGCTGTCACAAAAAACTAGGGTCCTGGAGCTGGGGTCCTAGAACTGGGGTCCTGGAGCTGGGGTCCTGGAACTGGGGTCCTGGAACTGGGGTCCTGGAACTGGGGTCCTGGAACTGGGGTCCTAGAACTGTGGTCCTGGAACTGGGGTCATGGAGCTGGGGTCCTGGAACTGGGGTCCTGGAACTGGGGTCCTAGAACTGTGGTCCTAGAACTGGGGTCCTGGAACTGGGGTCCTGGAGCTGGGGTCCTAGAACTGTAGTCCTAGAACTAGGGTCCTGGAGCTGGGGTCCTGGAACTGGGGTCCTAGAACTGTAGTCCTGGAACTGGGGTCCTGGAACTGGGGTCCTGGAGCTGGGGTCCTGGAGCTGGGGTCCTAAAACTGTGGTCCTAGAACTGGGGTCCTGGAGCTGGGGTCCTGGAACTGGGGTCCTAGAACTGTAGTCCTAGAACTGGGGTCCTGGAACTGGGGTCCTAGAACTGTAGTCCTTGAACTGGGGTCCTGGAACTGGGGTCCTGGAACTGGGGTCCTAGAACTGGGGTCCTGGAACTGGGGTCCTGTAACTGGGGTCCTGGAACTGGGGTCCTGTAACTGGGGTCCTGGAACTGGGGTCCTGGAACTGGGGTCCTGGAACTGGGGTCCTGGAACTGGGGTCCTGGAACTGGGGTCCTAGAACTGTAGTCCTTGAACTGGGGTCCTGGAACTGGGGTCCTAGAACTGTGGTCCTGTAACTGGGGTCCTGGAACTGGGGTCCTAGAACTGTGGTCCTGGAACTGGGGTCCTGAACTGGGGTCCTGGAACTGGGGTCCAAGAACTGTGGTCCTAGAACTGGGGTCCTGGAACTGGGGTCCTGGAACTGGGGTCCTGGAACTGGGGTCCTAGAACTGGGGTCCTAGAACTGGGGTCCTGGAACTGGGGTCCTGGAGCTGGGGTCCTGGAACTGGGGTCCTAGAACTGTGGTCCTAGAACTGGGGTCCTGGAACTGGGGTCCTGGAGCTGGGGTCCTGGAACTGGGGTCCTAGAACTGTAGTCCTAGAACTAGGGTCCTGGAGCTGGGGTCCTGGAGCTGGGGTCCTGGAACTGGGGTCCTGGAACTGGGGTCCTAGAACTGTAGTCCTAGAACTGGGGTCCTGGAACTGGGGTCCTAGAACTGTGGTCCTAGAACTGGGGTCCTGGAGCTGGGGTCCTGGAACTGGGGTCCTAGAACTGTGGTCCTAGAACTGGGGTCCTTGAACTGGGGTCCTGGAACTGGGGTCCTGGAACTGGGGTCCTAGAACTGGGGTCCTGGAACTGGGGTCCTGGAGCTGGGGTCCTGGAACTGGGGTCCTGGAACTGGGGTCCTGGAACTGGGGTCCTAGAACTGTGGTCCTGGAACTGGGGTCCTGGAACTGGGGTCCTGGAGCTGGGGTCCTGGAACTGGGGTCCTAGAACTGTAGTCCTAGAACTGGGGTCCTGGAACTGGGGTCCTAGAACTGTAGTCCTTGAACTGGGGTCCTGGAGCTGGGGTCCTGGAACTGGGGTCCTGGAACTGGGGTCCTGGAACTGGGGTCCTAGAACTGGGGTCCTGGAACTGGGGTCCTGGAGCTGGGGTCCTGGAACTGGGGTCCTGGAACTGGGGTCCTGGAACTGGGGTCCTGGAGCTGGGGTCCTGGAGCTGGGGTCCTGGAACTGGGGTCCTAGAACTGTAGTCCTAGAACTGGGGTCCTGGAACTGGGGTCCTAGAACTGTAGTCCTAGAACTGGGGTCCTAGAACTGTGGTCCTAGAACTGGGGTCCTGGAGCCAGGGTCCTGGAACTGGGGTCCTAGAACTGTAGTCCTAGAACTGGGGTCCTGGAACTGGGGTCCTAGAACTGGGGTCCTAGAACTGTAGTCCTAGAACTGGGGTCCTGGAGCTGGGGTCCTAGAACTGTAGTCCTAGAACTGGGGTCCTGGAGCTGGGGTCCTGGAACTGGGGTCCTAGAACTGTGGTCCTAGAACTGGGGTCCTGGAGCCAGGGTCCTGGAACTGGGGTCCTAGAACTGTAGTCCTAGAACTGGGGTCCTGGAGCTGGGGTCCTGGAACTGGGGTCCTAGAACTGCAGCCTCCGGTTGTGCAGGAACATGTGCTACTGCTTTAGACGCGAGTAAAATACGAACACACTGGAGAGCCGCTTTGGAGTAATCAACTTTACAGTTATAGCATACATGCAGTCTATTGTATAAAGTGCTGTATAAATAAACACGTGACCGATGTGAATCTGCTGAAGTGTGTTGTGTGTGTGTTCAGTAACCGTTCATGTCTCCTATGTGAACTTCATTCACTCACTCTTTTCATTCACTTCTTCCTAACTGCTGCACTATATAGTGAACGAGTGAGTGTCAGACGCAGCTTCAGTCTAGAGTAAAATAATAACGTATAATTGAATCTACATATTAAATCTCTCCTGAGGTTTTCTGAGAATCTGTTTAATATCCTCCGCCCATCCGTCTCTCCACATCACTGCACCATTCCTTTAGATTACAGTAATATCACTCTATTATTGAGATCCCAAATCGAATATTGAATTATAATTGAATCATGACCACAGGATCGATTTTAATCGAATAGTCAAACTCCAAACTATTCCCACCCCATAATTTACATATTGATCGGAATGTGGGCGGAGTCAGTGAATGTGGGCGGAGCCAGTGAATGTGGGTGGAGCCAGTGAATGTGGGTGGGGCCAGTGAATGTGGGCGGAGCCAGTGAATGCTGGTGTTTCCAGAAAAGAGACTGTTTAAGAGAAGAGTGAAAGAACTGAGTTTATTAGTGAACGGCCTGTTAATACACACACACTCTCACACACACTCCTGCTGATCCTGCTGTAATCTTCCCATGATGCCCTGCAGGTCGAGCCGTCAGACTCTATTGAAAATGTCAAGGCAAAGATCCAGGACAAAGAAGGTGATGTACAGTAAAGTTTGAGTGTGTGAGAGAGTGTGTGTGTCCTCTGTGCTGAGTGTGTGTATGTGAGTGTGAGTGTGTGTGTGAGAGTGAGTGTGTGTGTGTGTGTGAGAGTGAGTGTGTCCTCTGTGCTGATTGTGTGTGTGTGAGAGAGAGAGAGAGTGTGTGTGAGTGAGCGTGTCCTCTGTGCTGATTGTGTGTGTGTGTGAGAGAGAGAGAGTGTGTGAGAGTGAGTGTGTCCTCTGTGCTGATTGTGTGTGTGTGAGAGAGAGTGTGTCCTCTGTGCTGATTGTGTGTGTGTGAGAGAGAGTGTGTCCTCTGTGCTGATTGTGTGTGTGTGAGAGAGTGTGTGTGTGAGTGAGCGTGTCCTCTGTGCTGATTGTGTGTGTGTGAGAGAGTGTGTGTGTGAGTGAGCGTGTCCTCTGTGCTGATTGTGTGTGTGTGTGAGTGAGCGTGTCCTCTGTGCTGATTGTGTGTGTGTGTTGCAGGGATTCCTCCGGACCAGCAGAGGCTGATCTTCGCTGGGAAGCAGCTGGAGGACGGACGCACACTGTCCGACTACAACATCCAGAAGGTACGAGAGTCTCTGAGAGGAAACCAGGAGAAACAGCGGATCCTCACAGGAACTGTCAAAATAAAAATAAATAAAAAACTCCCACTTCTGACACATCGGCAGTGCAGATCATTTACAAATATGATCAGCCTTGACAATATATTGGTCAACCACCAATACTTTCTCATTATATCAGTAAAACATCAGTACCAGTGAACACGTGTGTGTGTGTGTCTGTGCAGGAGTCCACGCTGCACCTGGTGCTCCGTCTGCGCGGCGGAGCCAAGAAGAGGAAGAAGAAGTCCTACACCACGCCGAAGAAGAACAAACACAAGAGGAAGAAAGTGAAGCTGGCCGTGCTCAAGTACTACAAGGTGAATAAAACACTGTTTCAGTGAGAGTGAGCGTATGAGAGAGCGAGAGTGTGTGTGAGAGTGAGAGTGCGAGAGTGTGTGTGAGAGTGAGAGTGCGAGAGTGTGTGTGAGAGTGAGAGAGCGAGAGTGTGTGTGAGAGTGAGAGTGCGAGAGTGTGTGAGAGTGAGCGTGAGAGAGCGAGAGTGTGTGTGAGAGTGAGAGAGCGAGAGTGTGTGTGAGTGAGAGAGTGTGTGTGAGAGTGAGAGAGCAAGAGTGAGAGTGAGCGTGAGAGAGTGTGTGTGAGAGTGAGAGTGTGTGAGAGTGAGCGTGAGAGTGAGAGAGCGAGAGTGTGTGTGAGAGTGAGCGTGAGAGAGCGAGAGTGTGTGTGAGAGTGAGAGAGCGAGAGTGTGTGTGAGAGTGAGAGAGCAAGAGTGTGTGTGTGAGAGTGAGCGTGAGAGAGCGAGAGTGTGTGTGAGAGTGAGAGAGCGAGAGTGTGTGTGAGAGTGAGAGAGCGAGAGTGTGTGTGAGAGTGAGCGTGAGAGAGCGAGAGTGTGTGTGAGAGAGAGTGAGAGAGTAAGAGTGTGTGTGAGAGTGAGAGTGAGAGTGAGAGAGTGTGTGTGAGAGTGAGAGAGTGTGTGTGAGAGTGAGAGAGCAAGAGTGTGTGTGTGAGAGTGAGCGTATGAGAGAGCGAGAGTGTGTGTGAGAGTGAGAGTGAGAGAGCGAGAGTGTGTGTGAGAGTGAGCGTGAGAGAGCAAGAGTGTGTGTGAGAGTGAGAGAGCGAGTGTGTGTGAGTGAGCGTGAGAGAGCGAGAGTGTGTGTGAGAGTGAGAGAGTGTGTGTGAGAGTGAGAGAGTGTGTGAGAGTGAGGGAGTGTGTGTGAGAGTGAGAGAGTGTGTGTGAGAGAGAGAGTGTGTGTGAGAGTGAGAGAGCGAGAGTGTGTGTGAGAGTGAGAGAGCGAGAGTGTGTGTGAGAGTGAGAGAGCAAGAGTGTGTGAGAGAGCAAGAGTGTGTGTGAGAGAGAGTGAGAGAGTGTGTGTGAGAGAGAGTGAGAGAGTGTGTGTGAGAGTGAGCGTGAGAGAGCGAGAGTGTGTGTGAGAGTGAGTGTGTGTGTGAGAGTGAGCGTGTGTGTGTGAGAGTGAGCGTATGAGAGAGCGAGCGTATGAGAGAGCGAGAGTGTGTGTGAGAGTGAGCGTGAGAGAGCAAGAGTGTGTGTGAGAGAGAGAGCGAGAGTGTGTGAGAGTGAGCGTGAGAGAGCGAGAGTGTGTGAGAGTGAGAGAGTGTGTGTGAGCGTGAGAGAGCAAGAGTGTGTGTGTGAGCGTGAGCGTATGAGAGAGCGAGAGTGTGTGTGAGAGTGAGCGTGCGAGAGCAAGAGTGTGTGTGAGAGTGAGAGAGCGAGAGAGTGTGAGAGTGAGCGTGAGAGAGTGAGTGTGAGCGTGAGAGAGCAAGAGTGTGTGTGTGAGAGTGAGAGTGAGAGAGCGAGAGTGTGTGTGAGAGTGAGCGTGAGAGAGTGAGTGTGAGCGTGAGAGAGCAAGAGTGTGTGTGTGAGAGTGAGCGTATGAGAGAGAGTGAGTGTGAGAGAGCAAGAGTGTGTGTGTGAGAGTGAGAGTGAGAGAGCGAGAGTGTGTGAGAGAGTGAGTGTGAGCGTGAGAGAGCAAGAGTGTGTGTGTGAGAGTGAGAGAGCAAGAGTGTGTGTGTGAGAGTGAGAGAGCAAGAGTGTGTGTGTGAGAGTGAGAGAGCGAGAGTGTGTGTGAGAGTGAGCGTGAGAGAGTGAGTGTGAGCGTGAGAGAGCGAGAGTGTGTGTGTGAGAGTGAGAGAGCGAGAGTGTGTGAGAGTGAGAGAGCGAGAGTGTGTGAGAGTGAGAGAGCGAGAGTGTGTGTGAGAGTGAGCGTGAGAGAGCAAGAGTGTGTGTGAGAGTGAGAGAGCGAGAGTGTGTGTGAGAGTGAGAGAGCGAGAGTGTGTGTGAGAGTGAGAGAGCGAGAGTGTGTGTGAGAGTGAGAGAGCGAGAGTGTGTGTGAGAGTGAGAGTGAGAGAGTGTGTGTGAGAGTGAGAGAGCGAGAGTGTGTGTGAGAGTGAGAGTGTGTGTGAGAGTGAGCGTATGAGAGAGCAAGAGTGTGTGAGAGAGCAAGAGTGTGTGTGAGAGTGAGAGTGAGAGAGTGTGTGTGAGCGTGAGAGAGCAAGAGTGTGTGTGTGAGAGTGTGAGAGTGAGCGTATGAGAGAGCGAGAGTGTGAGTGAGAGAGTGTGTGTGAGCGTGAGAGAGCAAGAGTGTGTGTGTGAGAGTGAGAGAGCGAGAGCGAGAGTGTGTGTGAGAGTGAGAGTGAGAGAGTGTGTGTGAGCGTGAGAGAGCTAGAGTGTGTGTGAGAGTGAGAGTGAGAGAGTGTGTGTGAGAGTGAGAGAGTGTGTGTGTGAGAGTGTGTGTGAGAGTGAGCGTATGAGAGACCGAGAGTGTGTGTGAGAGTGAGAGACCGAGAGTGAGAGTGAGCGTATGAGAGAGCGAGAGTGTGTGTGAGAGAGTGTGTGTGAGAGTGAGCGTATGAGAGACCGAGAGTGTGTGTGAGAGTGAGAGACCGAGAGTGTGTGTGAGAGTGAGAGAGCGAGAGTGTGTGTGAGAGTGAGCGTGAGAGAGTGAGTGTGAGTGAGTGAGAGTGAGAGAGTGTGTGTGTGAGCGTGAGAGAGCAAGAGTGTGTGTGAGAGTGAGCGTATGAGAGAGCGAGAGTGTGTGTGAGAGTGAGAGAGCGAGAGTGTGTGTGAGAGTGAGCGTGAGAGAGTGAGTGTGAGTGAGTGAGAGTGAGAGAGTGTTTGTGTGAGCGTGAGAGAGCAAGAGTGTGTGTGAGAGTGAGCGTATGAGAGAGCGAGAGTGTGTGTGAGAGTGAGAGAGCAAGAGTGTGTGTGAGAGTGAGCGTATGAGAGAGCGAGAGTGTGTGTGAGAGTGAGCGTATGAGAGAGCGAGAGTGTGTGTGAGAGTGAGAGAGCGAGAGTGTGTGTGAGAGTGAGCGTGAGAGAGTGAGTGTGAGTGAGTGAGAGTGAGAGAGTGTGTGTGTGAGCGTGAGAGAGCGAGAGTGTGTGTGAGAGTGAGCGTATGAGAGAGCGAGAGTGTGTGTGAGAGTGAGCGTATGAGAGAGCGAGAGTCAAGTCAAGTCATCTTCATTTATATAGCGCTTTTAACAATGGATTGTTTCAAAGCAGCTTTACAGAGATAAACATATAATTTAAGGTAACAGATTGTTTTGGCGTTATAGCGGTTCTTGAATAATGTTACTTCCAGCTAAAGTTAACTTTGATTGATTCACCTCCGTCGAAATGATCAGACTTTAAACGCGAACCTGTGATTAACGCTGACGGCGTTCACATGCTCATTCAGAATTCTATAGTTATGTGCTTTTTAAAATATGTGCGCAGGTTTGTAATTCATACAACCCAGCCTAAACAAACTACTTTCTTGCCTATAAAATTTGATACAGAATTTTGTTTTATTTTATCACTTCGGGGTACGCGAGCCGGAATTCACAGCGCTTTATCTGTAGAGTGGGAAAGGGATCCTCCATAGGGAGAGGCTAGTTGGCACTTCAGCACTGCATTGTCATCGGGTCCAGGCGAATCTCCTTCGTCAGATCTGGACACGGCCTGGATCCGGCAGGCTGCGGGAAAACCTCGGGATAAACAAAGACACTAATATTAGCGTAGATGCCATTCTTCTTATGATGTAACGAGTACATCTGGATTTAAGGGAAGTGTTCCCAGTTCCGGCTGACCTAATCTATGCAGCCTAACATTGAATTTATAGAAGTCTATAATGTATTATGTGTATGGCAGGTCAAAGAGATGTGTTTTTAGTCTAGCTTTGAACTGACAGAGTGTGTCTGCTTCCCGGACAATGTTAGGAAGACTGTTCCAAAGTTTTGGTGCTAAATAGGAAAAGGATCTACCGCCAGCAGTCGATTTAGATATTCTAGGTATTATCAACTGGCCGGAGTTTTGAGATCGCAATAGACGTGAAGGACTATAATGCGTTAAGAGCTCGCTCAAGTACTGCGGAGCTAAACCATTTAGTGCTTTGTAGGTAATCAACAATATTTTAAAATGTATACGATGTTTAATAGGCAGCCAATGCAGTGTTGACAGAACCGGGCTAATATGGTCACACTTCCTGGCTCTGGTAAGAACTCGAGCTGCGGCGTTTTGAACTAGCTGTAGTTTGTTTATTAAGCGTGCAGGGCAACCACCCAATAGAGCATTACAGTAATCTAGCCTTGAGGTCATGAACGCATGGACTAATTGTTCCGCATTTCCCAATGAGAGCATATGGCGTAATTTAGATATATTTTTAAGATGGAAAAATGCAGTTTTACAGATACTAGACACGTGACTTTCAAAAGAAAGGTTGGTATCAAAGAGCACACCCAGGTTCCTAACCGACGACGAAGACTTGACAGAGCAGCCATTAAGTGTTAGACAGTATTCTGGGTTATTACGTAGTTTTTATAGTTTTTTATAGTTTTTTGTCCAATAATTAGAATCTCTGTCTTTTCAGAATTTAGTAGTAGGAAATTACTAGTCATCCAATTTTTTATATCAGCTATGCATTCCGTTAATTTTGTGAATTGGTAAGTTTCGTTGGGTTTTGAAGAAATATACAGCTGAGTATCATCGGCATAACAGTGAAAGCTAACTCCATGTTTCCTAATGATATCTCCTAATGGTAGCATGTACAGAGTGAACAGCAACGGTCCTAGTACTGAGCCTTGTGGTACGCCATACTGAACTTGTGATCGATAAGACATCTCTTCATTTACTGCTACAAACTGATAACGGTCAGTTAAGTATGATTTAAACCATGCTAATGCAATTCCGCTAATGCCAACATAATTTTCTAGTCTATTTAAAAGAATATTGTGGTCAATGGTGTCAAATGCAGCACTAAGATCGAGTAACACTAATAGAGAGATACAACCACGATCGGATGATAAGAGCAAATCATTTGTGACTCTAATGAGAGCGGTCTCAGTGCTATGGTACGGTCTAAATCCGGACTGAAAATCCTCACAGATATCATTTCTTTCTAGAAAGGAACATGGTTGTGAAGATACTGCTTTTTCTAATATCTTTGACAGAAAAGGCAGATTCGAGATCGGCCTGTAATTGACTAATTCTGTAGGATCAAGTTGTGGTTTTTTAACAAGCGGTTTTATCATAGCCAGTTTAAAGGTTTTTGGTACGTATCCTAGAGACAAAGATGAATTAATGATATTAAGAAGAGGATATATGACCTCTGGAAACATCTGGAGAGTGTGTGTGAGAGTGAGCAAGAGTGTGTGTGAGAGTGAGAGAGCGAGAGCGAGAGTGTGTGTGAGAGTGAGAGAGCAAGAGTGTGTGTGAGAGTGAGCATGAGAGAGCGAGAGTGTGTGTGAGAGAGTGAGTGTGTGTGTGTGAGTGTGTGAGCGAGAGAGTGTGTGAGTGAGAGTGTGTGAGTGAGAGTGTGTGTGAGAGTGAGAGAGTGAGTGTGAGCATGAGAGAGCAAGAGTGTGTGTGTGAGAGTGAGAGAGCGAGAGTGTGTGTGAGAGTGAGCGTGAGAGAGCAAGAGTGAGAGAGCGAGAGTGTGTGTGAGAGTGAGTGTGCGAGAGCAAGAGTGTGTGTGAGAGTGAGAGTGAGAGAGCGAGAGTGTGTGTGAGAGTGAGAGTGAGAGAGAGAGTGTGTGTGAGAGTGAGCGTGCGAGAGCAAGAGTGTGTGTGTGAGAGTGAGAGTGAGAGAGCGAGAGTGTGTGTGAGAGTGAGCGTGAGAGAGTGAGTGTGAGCGTGAGAGAGCAAGAGTGTGTGTGTGTGAGAGTGAGCGTATGAGAGAGCGAGAGTGTGTGTGAGAGTGAGCGTGAGAGAGCAAGAGTGTGTGTGAGAGTGAGAGAGCGAGAGTGTGTGTGAGAGTGAGCGTGAGAGAGCAAGAGTGTGTGTGAGAGTGAGAGTGAGAGAGCGAGAGTGAGAGTGAGAGAGCAAGAGTGTGTGTGAGAGTGAGCGTATGAGAGAGCGAGAGTGTGTGTGAGAGTGAGAGAGCGAGAGTGTGTGTGAGAGTGAGAGAGCGAGAGTGTGTGTGAGAGTGAGAGAGCAAGAGTGTGTGTGAGAGTGAGCGTGAGAGAGCAAGAGTGTGAGTGAGAGAGCGAGAGTGTGTGTGAGAGTGAGCGTATGAGAGAGCGAGAGTGTGTGTGAGAGTGAGAGAGCGAGAGTGTGTGTGAGAGTGAGCGTGAGAGAGCAAGAGTGTGTGTGAGAGTGAGCGTATGAGAGAGCGAGAGTGTGTGTGAGAGTGAGAGAGCGAGAGTGTGTGTGAGAGTGAGAGAGCGAGAGTGTGTGTGAGAGTGAGAGAGCGAGAGTGTGTGTGAGAGTGAGAGAGCGAGAGTGTGTGTGAGAGTGAGAGAGCAAGAGTGTGTGTGAGAGTGAGCGTGAGAGAGCAAGAGTGTGAGTGAGAGAGCGAGAGTGTGTGTGAGAGTGAGAGTGAGAGAGCAAGAGTGTGTGTGAGAGTGAGCGTATGAGAGAGCGAGTGTGTGTGAGAGTGAGCGTGAGAGAGCAAGAGTGTGTGTGAGAGTGAGCGTATGAGAGAGCGAGTGTGTGTGAGAGTGAGCGTGAGAGAGCAAGAGTGAGAGAGCGAGAGTGTGTGTGAGAGTGAGAGAGCGAGTGTGTGTGAGAGTGAGCGTGAGAGAGCGAGAGTGAGAGAGCGAGAGTGTGTGTGAGAGTGAGAGAGCAAGAGTGTGTGTGAGAGTGAGCGTGAGAGAGCAAGAGTGTGAGTGAGAGAGCGAGAGTGTGTGTGAGAGTGAGAGTGAGAGAGCAAGAGTGTGTGTGAGAGTGAGCGTATGAGAGAGCGAGTGTGTGTGAGAGTGAGAGTGAGAGAGCAAGAGTGTGTGTGAGAGTGAGCGTATGAGAGAGCGAGTGTGTGTGAGAGTGAGCGTGAGAGAGCAAGAGTGAGAGAGCGAGAGTGTGTGTGAGAGTGAGAGAGCGAGTGTGTGTGAGAGTGAGCGTGAGAGAGCGAGAGTGAGAGAGCGAGAGTGTGTGTGAGAGTGAGCGTGAGAGAGCAAGAGTGAGAGAGCGAGAGTGTGTGTGAGAGTGAGAGAGCGAGTGTGTGTGAGAGTGAGCGTGAGAGAGCGAGAGTGAGAGAGCGAGAGTGTGTGTGAGAGTGAGAGAGCGAGTGTGTGTGAGAGTGAGAGTGAGAGAGCAAGAGTGTGTGTGAGAGTGAGAGTGAGAGAGCAAGAGTGTGTGTGAGAGTGAGAGAGCGAGAGTGAGTGTGAGTGAGTGAGAGTGAGAGAGTGTGTGTGTGAGCGTGAGAGAGCAAGAGTGTGTGTGAGAGTGAGAGTGAGAGAGCGAGAGTGTGTGTGAGAGTGAGAGAGCGAGAGTGTGTGTGAGAGTGAGAGAGCAAGAGTGTGTGTGAGAGTGAGCGTATGAGAGAGCGAGAGTGTGTGTGAGAGTGAGCGTGAGAGAGCGAGAGTGTGTGTGAGAGTGAGAGAGCGAGAGTGTGTGTGAGAGTGAGAGAGCGAGAGTGTGTGTGAGAGTGAGAGTGAGAGAGCAAGAGTGTGTGTGAGAGTGAGAGTGCAAGAGTGTGTGTGAGAGTGAGAGAGCGAGAGGGAGTGTGAGAGTGAGAGAGTGTGTGTGTGAGCGTGAGAGAGCAAGAGTGTGTGTGAGAGTGAGCGTATGAGAGAGCAAGAGTGTGTGAGAGAGTGTGAGAGTGAGCGTGAGAGAGCGAGAGTGTGTGTGAGAGTGAGCGTGAGAGAGCAAGAGTGTGTGTGAGAGTGAGAGAGCGAGAGTGTGTGTGAGAGTGAGAGAGCAAGAGTGTGTGTGAGAGTGAGCGTGAGAGAGCGAGAGTGTGTGTGTGAGAGTGTGTGTGTGAGAGTGAGTGTGTGAGAGTGAGTGTGTGAGAGTGTGTGAGTGTGTGAGCGAGAGAGTGTGTGAGTGAGAGAGTGTGAGTGAGAGTGTGAGAGTGTGTGAGTGAGAGTGTGAGTGTGTGTGTGTGTGTGTGACACTAATGCTGCTGGTCTGCAGGTGGATGAGAACGGGAAGATCCACCGTCTGCGGCGCGAGTGTCCGGCTGATGAGTGCGGCGCCGGCGTCTTCATGGCCAGTCACTTCGACAGGCATTACTGTGGGAAGTGCTGCCTCACCTACTGCTTCAACAAACCCGAGGACAAGTGATCAGTAAAACACTGGAAACAGCTTCTGTCTGAGCGCCTTTCTGTCAGGACATGCTGTTTCTGCCGTGTCCTGAATCTTCAGACTGTTTTTGAGCTAGTCTACATTGACTGATATGATGTGAATCAGTGCGTTTTAAGGATTTTAAGTTAAAGTTGACATGAAACTGAAGTTGCGCTCGTCTTTTCTCCTCTATTGTGTCGTATATCCGAGTGAAGCGCTTCTGGAATGAGAACACGTGGGCGGGGCTTGATTGTGTCTGTGGGGAACTGATTGGATGGTTGTGGTTTGCTATTGGTGGATCTCATGTGAGTGACAGGTTGCCCCGCCCTCGTCATCAGAGAAGAGAAGAGATGCTGCAAGAGGAACTTATTCTGATTCAAGATTATTAAAAACAATGATGTGCACCCATAAATCATTTACAATAAACACTGCAATATTCCATAAAAAAATAGAAATTACCATTTTGATTTCATGGTGATTTTAAGTGTTTTACGTAAAATAAGTATTGACAATTACGTTTATCTTCTGAACTTATTTAATGAAGGATAAAGATGTGTCGAACAGTGAAGTGGTTGATACTCTGAGTCTCACTGGCGGCCAGCAGGCGGCGCTGTTGAACAGCCCTGGAACCGGAAGCAGTCCGCTGTGGTCTGAGGAAAATACTGCACATATCCAGGATCACTTGAACTATTCCTCCTTTGATAATAATTATTTACTTTTAAATATAGTTTTAATATGAATGGTTATTCCCACGCTATCTTGTTAATAAACAAGTCGATGTCCCTTTGCTCAACACCGGTACCTCCTGACCAATCACAGTAGTTTAGTGTGAGGCTGGACCAATCACAGCTCTTGTCTGCTGTGAATCATGTAAATATTCTGTTCGTTGTAAACATTCTGTTCGTGAGTTGAAGCTGTTAAAGTCACGATGGCGTCTGATCTGAGGAAAGAGCTGGAAGAGTTTCTCAAGCGTCTGAAAATCGACACGACCTGCATCGACCATCCAGAGGTGGGGATAACCGGAGTTAACACGGAAGAGTTCCGATGACACGTGTGTGAGGGGCGAATCCGCCACGGAAGGGGGGAAAACATGCGCGTGGAAATCATTTTCACGACATAATTCGAAATTATGACATACCAAGTCATATGAAAAGTCAAAATTAGGACGTAAAAAGAAAACAAATTCGAAAATATGGCATACTAAGTCATTTATGACATAAGTCGAAAATGACAAAAAAAAAATACATTTCGACTTTTTACTCTCATAATTACAATTTGGTAGGCCTATGTCACAATTTAGACTTTATCTCATCATTTCAACTTTAGTCATAATATGTAATAAACTTAATTATTCCCACTTAATTATGTCATAATTTTACCTTTTCATCTCAATCAATTTAGTATGAGTTGGTGTCGTATGACTCATCATATACTCACACAAGCTGTAATCTGAAGACTGTGACTGTAAGAAGGCACGAGGATATTATCAACATTAAGATGCTCTGTTGTTGTAAAAGTGATGGCTAGTAGGAGCTGAATTTGCCGGTTGATAACAGACCCACTACACCGTCCGGAGAGAGGCTGTAACTAGAGATGATCAGCTATTTGGGAATAACCCATTTACTGTCACCACAACTCAAGTCTGTCTGCATGTGTGTGTGGTTTTCTATAAATTAAAGATATAAGAAAAATAGATAAGTACAAATACCAATGACAAACAATAGTAGTCACAATAAACAAAGTAACAGTAATCTCCACAATGAATATTAAATTACAATGATTAATACAGTACAATAGGAAAAACCAATGTGGCATTATAAGGAAAGTGCACTGCTAGGAATGATGAATACTGAGCGGCTGATATTCCGCGCTGAGGACAGAGATGGAGTGCGCATGCGCCCAAAGAGTGCTTTACCTCTAGAAGTGAGAGATATATATAATAAATAGACCATATAATGCATAAAAGGCACTTAGATTATGTCTTCTAAATATAACAATGATATCCGTGAGGAAACTAGTATGTAAATATACATACGAACATCTTTACGAGCTAGTTTGTATTGTCATTTGCATACTGTGATGAGGTTAGATGTTGTGGGAAGGAGGAGGCGGGAGCCAGCGAACGTTCAACAGACTTTAATAACAAAATAAAACAAATACATAAAATACAAAATGAAAGTAAAAGACAGCAGCCCTTCACGGACGACTGCTGTCACATACATTAAAACAAAACACAAGTCCAGGCCTGTTCCTCTCTCGATCTTCACTGTCGTCGCTCCTCCTTTATGCCTCTGTGAGAGATACGAGACCGGTGCGTCGCACAGGTGTCGCTCATCAGTAATCACGCCACCGGCCTCGCGCCGCTCTCTCACGGCCCTCGGCCTCGTCCTGCTCGCCACACACCCCCATCGCCCCTCGCAGGCCGGGGGTACACCCGAGACTGCGTCTACTCCTCCCCCCTCCCCCTGGGGGACCGATCACCGTGGCCGCGGCACCTGGGGGTATGGCTGTCCATAACCCCAGGAGCAGGACGAGGCGAGAGAAAAGGAGACGGAAGCATGAGGAGCGACATAGACGAGAGAGGGAAAAAAATCTTGGTCCAGTTCCCACAACGCGCTGCCATCTGGTCCTCCACCAGCTGGGCGATCTTCTCTGCGGTGCCTGGCGGTGGCGCTGGATAGCCCTCGGTGGACGGCTCGACACTCCTCCGCCGCCTGGTGGACGGCGACGGCTCCTCCGGGTACGGGAAGACGGCAGGAGTCCCCCGTTACCTGCTCCTCCCCTTCATGGCTGATGGCAGCAGACTCTGGCCCACGGCGAACGGCGGCGGCGACTCCGCTCCCTAACGGACGGCAGCCGCCCCTCCAGCACCCAGACGGCCGGCAGCGAGCTCGACCGTCCCCCCGGCAACTCACTCCAGCGCACCGCCTCGAGGACTCTGCCCACCTGCACACCTTTACCTGCACACCTTTACCCGCACACCTTTACCCGCACACCTTTACCCGCACACGTCTTTACCCGCACACGTCTTTACCTGCACACGTCTTTACCCGCACACCTTTACCTGCACACCTTTACCCGCACGTCTTTTCCGCGGCGCTGATTGGCTCGCTGGACGGATGCTGCGACGTATGAGTCAATTTTGCATATAGAAAAGGAAACGAAGACACTTGAAGTTAACCCTAATTCTGGCCTTCTTTACAATTGTTGTTGTTGTTTTTAGGTGTTTACGGTGGAGGAGATGATGCCTCATGTGGCTCATCTGAGCGGCGCGGTCACGAAGAACCTGTTCCTGAAGGACAAGCGTAAGAAGAGCCTGTGGCTGCTGAGCGTGCGGCACGACCGGCGGCTGGACCTGGGCGAGGTGTCTCGGCGCCTGGGGCTCGGCGGAGGGAACCTGCGGCTGGCGGACGAGGCTCTGCTGCTGGAGACGCTGCGTGTGCGGCAGGGCTGCGTGACGCCGCTCGCGCTCTTCTGCGACTCCGCCCGCAGCGTGACGGTGGTGCTGGACCGAGACCTGACCCACGGCGCACACCAGTGGCTCTATTTCCACCCCATGACCAACAGCGCCACCATGGGGCTCAAACCTGACGACCTGCTGCGCTTCCTGAGGGAGACGGACCACGAGCCCGTCCTGCTGAGCCTCGACTGATCCTGACACTAGCTGCGTTTACATTACAGATTTGCGCAAAACTTTTGCGATATTTTCTAAATGTCGATAAAAAACTGTTGTGAAATGACGGATTTTCCATTAACCGAAGTTATGCGACTGAAGCGTAATTTTTTACTCTCATAAGTCATTCCAAAAATCATGGGAACGGATGTTGGTAGGTTTATGTATATCAGCCGCCGCACTAGCCATTATTATTAATGGAAGGAGACGTAGGCATGTTTTCCAACATTAATGTCAAGGAAAGACCCTTATACTGGGAGCGGCACGTATGAGGTGTTTCTGGGGGTTTTCCCTCAGATCTGCTTCAAGCTCTTGATAAATTGTGGCATTTCTTTGTTGTTTAGAATCCAGTATTCCCGTAATTCTTAAACTTTTATGAGTTTAATAAATAACTCTGTCTCGTCTTCTATCTAAACATACCGTGCCTTCTTTAAAGAATGATCATGTGACTTTGATCATGTGACTTTTACGTACGTCAGGTGACCTGTGAATGCGCAAAAACTGTTTCCATTGCAGTTTTGCAAAATATTCCTTTTTCGAATTGCCTGAAAAACCACCTCATGTGAGTGTAAAAACTTTTTTGCGATATATGGGAGATTTTGCTAAATTTACGTGTTTCCATTGGGCGTATCCTCAATTTCAATTTGCGCAATTTGAAGGGTGATGGAAACGCGGCTATTGACAGCTGGTCACGTGACACTAACTACATTACTAACATTACTGCTGGTCACATGACGTGGGTCTCATTCTGGACAACTTTACTGTATTTACTGAAATATTTTACAATCACTAGGACGCATTTCTCAATATTCAGGTCAGTTTTTCAAACTGTTCTCCTGACCATCTTTCCTGCCCCAACAGCAGTAAAACTACCAAAACACATAATTTATCAAATCAAGTCATTCTTCCTTAGGTTTTGTAGGATTGAAAATAATCCAAGATATTGGAAAATGAACAAAGACATTTGCATTTACTGTTTTCCATGCCCTCTTTCTACCACAAGGAGCATTTGGAGTTCCTAAAGACACAGAGGTGCTGATAGTGCTAGTGAAGATGTGTGTACATCGGGGTCTTCTAATGCTCACAGCTTTAGTACAGTGGGGGAAGTGGTCATTATCTGATTGGAACGTCTCACATTTGGGTTTCAGTCACATGGTCAGGGAAAGGATAAAAGAAGATTGTAACGGTTGATCTGGCTCTTTCCTTTCTGATTCTCGGGTCTCTCTCTCTCTCTCTTTACCTACTCTTTTCTTTCTCTCTCTCTCTCTCCCTCTCTCTCCCTCTCTATCTCTCAGGTAACATTTTACATATATCCTGGGTACAATTAAGTTTTTATCATCTCATATATCTATTTTGTAACTATTTTAAGTGTAACCATAACCATATTGTCATTAAACCTTTTCAATTACAAATGATGCTAACTAGTTTTGATTTGGTATTGACTTTGAAATGCTACCTATTGCAATAGAATATCGTCACTCTATAGCAACGCTCTACCACATATTGAGCTATTGTAGCTGCACTTATTCCCGTCGCTGGTAGAAGTAGCAGTGGGTGGAAATAGACAAGAAGTTTACAGTTTTCTACCATCTTGCTGACGTTTCTTCAGTCGTTCGGCAGCCTGACCCCCGCAGGAGAGCCAGCCTCACGGCAGCGGGGACTGAGGGTGCTGACGTTTCTTCAGTCGTTCGGCAGCCTGACCCCCGCAGGAGAGCCAGCCTCACGGCCGCGGGGACTGAGAGTGCTGACGTTTCTTCAGTCGTTCGGCAGCCTGACCCCCGCAGGAGAGCCAGCCTCAAGGCCGCGGGGACTGGGGGTGCTGACGTTTCTTCAGTCGTTCGGCTGTCTGACCCCCGCAGGAGAGCCAGCCTCAAGGCAGCGGGGACTGGGGGTGCTGACGTTTCTTCAGTCGTTCGGCAGCCTGACCCCCGCAGGAGAGCCAGCCTCAAGGCAGCGGGGACTGGGGGTGCTGACGTTTCTTCAGTCGTTCGGCTGTCTGACCCCCGCAGGGACTGGGGGTGCTGACGTTTCTTCAGTCGTTCGGCAGCCTGACCCCCGCAGGAGAGCCAGCCTCAAGGCCGCGGGGACTGAGGGTGCTGACGTTTCTTCAGTCGTTCGGCAGCCTGACCCCCGCAGGAGAGCCAGCCTCAAGGCCGCGGGGACTGGGGGTGCTGACGTTTCTTCAGTCGTTCGGCAGCCTGACCCCCGCAGGAGAGCCAGCCTCAAGGCCGCGGGGACTGAGGGTGCTGACGTTTCTTCAGTCGTTCGGCAGTCTGACCCCCGCAGGAGAGCCAGCCTCAAGGCCGCGGGGACTGAGGGTGCTGACGTTTCTTCAGTCGTTCGGCAGCCTGACCCCCGCAGGAGAGCCAGCCTCAAGGCCGCGGGGACTGGGGGTGCTGACGTTTCTTCAGTCGTTCGGCAGTCTAACCCCCGCAGGAGAGCCAGCCTCAAGGCCAAGGGGACTGGGGGTGCTGACGTTTCTTCAGTCGTTCGGCAGTCTAACCCCCGCAGGAGAGCCAGCCTCAAGGCCGCGGGGACTGGGGGTGCTGACGTTTCTTCAGTCGTTCGGCAGCCTTACCCCCGCAGGAGAGCCAGCCTCACGGCCGCGGGGACTGGGGGTGCTGACGTTTCTTCAGTCGTTCGGCAGCCTGACCCCCGCAGGAGAGCCAGCCTCACGGCCGTGGGGACTGGGGGTGCTGACGTTTCTTCAGTCGTTCGGCAGCCTGACCCCCGCAGGAGAGAAAGCCTCACGGCCGCGGGGACTGAGGGTGCTGACGTTTCTTCAGTCGCTCGGCTGTCTGACCCCCGCAGGAGAGCCAGCCTCAAGGCCGCGGGGACTGAGGGTGCTGACGTTTCTTCAGTCGTTCGGCAGCCTGACCCCCGCAGGAGAGCCAGCCTCAAGGCCGCGGGGACTGGGGGTGCTGACGTTTCTTCAGTCGTTCGGCAGCCTGACCCCCGCAGGAGAGCCAGCCTCACGGCCGCGGGGACTGGGGGTGCTGACATTTCTTCAGTCGTTCGGCAGCCTGACCCCCGCAGGAGAGAAAGCCTCACGGCCGCGGGGACTGGGGGTGCTGACGTTTCTTCAGTCGCTCGGCTGTCTGACCCCCGCAGGAGAGCCAGCCTCAAGGCCGCGGGGACTGGGGGTGCTGACGTTTCTTCAGTCGTTCGGCAGCCTGACCCCCGCAGGAGAGCCAGCCTCAAGGCCGCGGGGACTGGGGGTGCTGACGTTTCTTCAGTCGTTCGGCAGCCTGACCCCCGCAGGAGAGCCAGCCTCAAGGCAGCGGGGACTGGGGGTGCTGACGTTTCTTCAGTCGTTCGGCAGCCTGACCCCCGCAGGAGAGCCAGCCTCAAGGCAGCGGGGACTGGGGGTGCTGACGTTTCTTCAGTCGTTCGGCAGTCTGACCCCCGCAGGAGAGCCAGCCTCAAGGCCGCGGGGACTGGTGGTGCTGACGTTTCTTCAGTCGTTCGGCTGTCTGACCCCCGCAGGAGATCCAGCCTCAAGGCCGCGGGGACTGAGGGTGCTGACGTTTCTTCAGTCGTTCGGCAGCCTGACCCCTGCAGGAGAGCCAGCCTCAAGGCAGCGGGGACTGGGGGTGCTGACGTTTCTTCAGTCGTTCGGCAGTCTGACCCCCACAGGAGAGCCAGCCTCACGGCCGCGGGGACTGGGGGTGCTGACGTTTCTTCAGTCGTTCGGCAGCCTGACCCCCGCAGGAGAGCCAGCCTCAAGGCCGCGGGGACTGGGGGTGCTGACGTTTCTTCAGTCGTTCGGCAGCCTGACCCCCGCAGGAGAGCCAGCCTCAAGGCAGCGGGGACTGGGGGTGCTGACGTTTCTTCAGTCGTTCGGCAGCCTGACCCCCGCAGGAGAGCCAGCCTCAAGGCAGCGGGGACTGGGGGTGCTGACGTTTCTTCAGTCGTTCGGCAGTCTGACCCCCGCAGGAGAGCCAGCCTCAAGGCCGCGGGGACTGGTGGTGCTGACGTTTCTTCAGTCGTTCGGCTGTCTGACCCCCGCAGGAGATCCAGCCTCAAGGCCGCGGGGACTGAGGGTGCTGACGTTTCTTCAGTCGTTCGGCAGCCTGACCCCCGCAGGAGAGCCAGCCTCAAGGCAGCGGGGACTGGGGGTGCTGACGTTTCTTCAGTCGTTCGGCAGTCTGACCCCCGCAGGAGATCCAGCCTCAAGGCCGCGGGGACTGAGGGTGCTGACGTTTCTTCAGTCGTTCGGCAGCCTGACCCCCGCAGGAGAGCCAGCCTCAAGGCCGCGGGGACTGGGGGTGCTGACGTTTCTTCAGTCGTTCGGCAGTCTGACCCCCACAGGAGAGCCAGCCTCAAGGCCGCGGGGACTGACGTTTCTTCAGTCGTTCGGCAGCCTGACCCCCGCAGGAGAGCCAGCCTCAAGGCCGCGAGGACTGGTGGTGCTGACGTTTCTTCAGTCGTTCGGCAGCCTGACCCCCGCAGGAGAGCCAGCCTCAAGGCCGCGGGGACTGGGGGTGCTGACGTTTCTTCAGTCGTTCGGCAGTCTGACCCCCGCAGGAGAGCCAGCCTCAAGGCCGCGGGGACTGACGTTTCTTCAGTCGTTCGGCAGCCTGACCCCCGCAGGAGAGCCAGCCTCAAGGCCGCGAGGACTGGGGATGCTGACGTTTCTTCAGTCGTTCGGCAGCCTGACCCCCGCAGGAGAGCCAGCCTCAAGGCCGCGGGGACTGAGGGGGCTGACGTTTCTTCAGTCGTTCGGCAGCCTGACCCCCGCAGGAGATCCAGCCTCAAGGCCGCGGGGACTGAGGGGGCTGACGTTTCTTCAGTCGTTCGGCAGCCTGACCCCCGCAGGAGAGCCAGCCTCAAGGCCGCGGGGACTGACGTTTCTTCAGTCGTTCGGCAGCCTGACCCCCGCAGGAGAGCCAGCCTCAAGGCCGCGAGGACTGGTGGTGCTGACGTTTCTTCAGTCGTTCGGCAGCCTGACCCCCGCAGGAGAGCCAGCCTCAAGGCCGCGGGGACTGGGGGTGCTGACATTTCTTCAGTCGTTCGGCAGCCTGACCCCCGCAGGAGAGAAAGCCTCACGGCCGCGGGGACTGGGGGTGCTGACGTTTCTTCAGTCGCTCGGCTGTCTGACCCCCGCAGGAGAGCCAGCCTCAAGGC